AATGGAATGTTGAAATCTCCCAATATTAATGTGTAGGGCTTAATTTGTGATTTAAGCTTTTACAAACGCAGGAGCCCTTGTATTTGGAGCACAGATTTCCTCATAATGAATTTTTGCTGTGATGAATATTAATGGCCATGTTTATGTTTTTATTTTAGTTTAAATTCTATGTTGTTAGATACTAGGATAGCTACACCAGGTTGTTTCTTAGGTACAATTTATTGGAAACATTTTCCCCAAGCATTTACTCTGAGTTAATGTCTGTCTGTGAGTTTCAGGTATGTTTTTCATATGCACCAGAAGTATGGAATCTGTTTTCATATCCATTCTGGTAGCCTGTGTCCTTTTATAGGTGAATTTAGAACATTATGTGTTCAATTCCCTTCTTTGGGATTTACTGTTGTTAGCTCCTCTATTTTCTGTGTTCTTGTGGACATTAGTGATTTCCTTGTGTTGGTGTTTTCCCTCCAGTAGGGCTGGGTTTGTGGATAGGTATTTGCTTGATTTTGTTTTTATCATGGAATATCATGCTTTCTCCATCTTTAGTTATGGAAAGCCTTGCTAGGTAAAGTAAGCTGGACTGGCATCACTGGTCCCTGAACATCTGCATAACATCTAATAAGGAAGTTCTTGCTTTCATTGTTTCTCTTGAGATGTCATGTGTAATTCTTATGGGTGTGCTTTTATATGTTACCTGGTATTTCTACTTTGAAGCTGTTAATGTTCTTTATTTCATTCTGCATGTTTATTGTTTGATTATTATGTGGCAAGGGAAGTTTTTGTTTTGGTCCAGTTTTTGGTGTTTTGCCAGCCTCTTGTGTTGTCATAGGCATGTCCTTCTTTATGTTAGGGAAATTTTCTTCTATGATTTTGCTAAATATCTTTTCTGTGCTTTCTAGTTGCAATTGTGCTCCATCTTCTATCCCTATGATTCTTAGGTTCAATCTTTACACAGTGTCGCATATTTCCTGCATGTTTTATGTTATAGATTTGTTGTATTTAAATTTTGTTTGACCAATGAATCTATTTCCTCCAAATTATCTTTAATTCCTGAAATTTTCTCTTACATCTGTTGCATTTGTGATTCTGATTGCTTAACCATAATTTCCATTTCAAGAATTCTTTTAGTTTGTTTTTTTCTTTATTGCATCTACTTCAGATTTCACATCTTGAATCATTTTCTACAGTCTTTGGTCCAGTGTCGACCTTTGCCACATCTACATAATCAGAAATACGCCTTCTGTTTGAATCTTCCTAGGAGCAGCATTATTTTTAGAAATGCTTTTTCTACAATTTCTTTTTAGTAGTCCTATTTTGCCACCATTACAGCATCTGGTATTTTGATGTTTTTTTAAATTTCAGGAGATTGCTTCTTCTACCCAAGCTTTTATATCCCCACAGTTAAGGTATTTGGCATCTTGGTGCCTCTTCAAACATTTAGAGATTGCTTCTCCTGCCCAAGCTTCTGTATCTTGATTTTATTGTCAATGTTACTGTATAGAGAACCTATTCCTCTAATGGTGCTGATCTGATCTTTAATGGCCAGAGTACCTATTTGCATTGTGAATTCACATCCTCATAAGCTAGAGATTCTATAAGTATTAGCCTACTATCTGAATCAGTTACCTGTGATTCTACTTCTGTGGATAATATTTCTAAGAATTCAATGAACCATTGAATTCACTTGGTGCCTGTACCACTTTGGGATATGGTTCTATTTTCTAGACAGGTTCAAGAACCTTACCCAAAGCATTCAGGGATGCTGCATGGCACAAAGACAAGATGTGTTCATCATATGCAGCCTGAGCCTGTGGTTCAGCATAAGCACCCTCACCAACAATCTTAACTCAGGGATCTTCAAAAGCTTTATTTAAGCCTTGAAGCCCAGAAGCTTTTGCTTCTACCCTCAATGAAGCCCTCCCTTGAATTTAAGATGAATTTTTGAGCACCGCAGAGATCAATTGGATCCAATTCTTATGGGTCACCTTATTTTTGCTTGCCGATGTGTTCAGTAGCTTCTTGACATAGTGAGAATGAATACTATAAGAATCAACAAACTCCTTGATTCCCTTCCATTCTTTTATCTGGATTAGCTCCCACAGATATGTAAAGAAGCCATTTGGATGTTTTTTTGGTGTTGGTTTTTCAGTCATGAATACTGGGAAAACCATAGGAGAGGGCATAGCAACCAGATGCTACTGGCTGCATTCTCCATCTTATCAATCAGAAAAATCCTGCTCAACCATAAAAAAGATCTTATTACATTATTTCTCCATTCTGATGACTCAAGACTCTAAATTTCAGTGCTGGAGAGATGATTAAGTGGTTTAGAGCACTGTCGTACCCTTGTAGAGAATCTGAGTTTAGTGTTTAGTTCCTTAAACACAAAGCAGGAGCATTACACAACATGTAACTGTAGCTCTGTAGGAACAAGTGAAATATTCTGGCCCATGAAGAAATGTACACACCACACACTCACACACACACACACACACACACACACACACACACTCACACACAAACACACACACACATACACATAATGTGCATTCTTCCCCAGAACCTGGTGCCAGAGTCATGTCATTACCAAATGAACATGCAGGATGCTATATTAATAATGAAGCTGTTGGCCATTTGCAATGGTTTCTTGTTGGCTACGTCTGACTTAATTATTAACCCATAACTGTTAATCTGAGTTTTTTTCACATGGCCTTCTCTTCCCAGAGAAAGGGTCCAGACCTCTTACTCCTCTCCCTTCCTACATGGTGACTGACTGTGCCTCCATTTCCCCAAATCCTCCACCTCTCTTAGTCCCACCTATCTTGCTTCCTTATTTGCCAACAGTGCTTTATTCATCAACCAATAAGACAAACATACATAGACCATTACCAATCATCTCCTCTTTTCTGTCTAAATAATAAGTATTTTAACTTTAATGTAGTAAAATATATAACAAAACTGTTAACAAGTAAGAACTGCAGTTACAATATTTAGTCCATTAACATTTAGCAAGATTTAAAGAAAGTATTCTATCATCAATCCTATCTGTGTGAGTCTAATGTCTTATATCTAGCTTATCTTTTATCATAACTAAGAAAAACTATAACTATAACTATCTGTCTTCAACTCCATCAAAGACCACAGAAGTATAATATATAAACAGTAAAATTGACTAAGACATCTTGCTACCAGGAGAGTCAACCAAAATTCTTCTGAAATGTTGGGGAATCCATCTTCAGACCATAAGCCACAGTGTGTCTGGCAGACTTCTCTCTGAAACAGGACATTTTAAACTGTCCACCTGCACTGGCAGTTTGTTAGTTTCTTATCTATGTCCTAAAAAATGTTTGGCTGACCCTTCCATGAAGCACATACCCTGCATGAATGTTCATCTTGGTTTGCAGGTTCAACAGTCACTTTCCTGTGGGTTCTGCATCTTCAGTTTATACAGCAACAATAAAACAGTCCCGGCAAGGGCAGTTTCTTGTCCAAATGGCTAGTTTTGCCATATTGAAAGTAAACTTGATACTGACATTCTTTTATTTTCATCCTGTTATCTGACCTATTGTGCTGCTGCTAGTAGCAGACATTTCTTTGTCAAGAAAAGCTTGAAACCATTTTAAATGCCATTTTCTGAAGGTTGTAAAAAACATTCGAAGAATATCTATCCATTCCAAATATATCTCAGTATATCTAGAAAACCTAACTAACCTAATAAGTTTAATGATTATAGATAAACACATATAATCTGTACTTAATTATGTATTACATTTTAAAATAGCTATAAACACAGTATCTAAACAATGTGAGAAATATATATCATAAAATTGACTTGAAATTGTGTTAATAAATGAAAATATTCATTTCTATATCATAATGCCCCCTTGCCTGTAAAAAGAATTTGATTGTGTTCATTAACCAATCCCATTTAAATGAAAACAAAAAGTTATAAACAATATTTGGTAATTTGGGGGTTGTTAATTCCAAATTGCTGCCTGCTGTTTGGGGACACTGTCTATATTATGGGGATCATGACAAAAAACTGAAATTTGGCTAAGTTCTTTTTTTTGTAGTCTGTATGGCTGCATCATTTCAGCTGTTATAGATTTTGGAACATCTGGGACACTGTTTTGGGGGTCTTTTTTTCCTCAATCCTAATTAGTCTGCAAGGAATCCATAGTTTTACATTTTCTGATGAAACACAAACAAAACCTCTTCTCCCAAGTAATATGTTGTTATATTTAAATATGAAAGTGAAAGCATTTTAAAAATATATGTTGGATTAATTAGCAGTATTGACAATCAAATGTCTTTTAGCAGTTGTTTCTCCTTCTCTGGCAATTATGCAATTCAAAGGCAACACAATAGCATACAGTATCCAGACTCTGTGTATTTTCTGTCTTTATGTGGCTTCCATATTTTTTAATTATTTCTACTCTCTTTTCTTTGCCTTTTTTCCTCTGAAGAGACAGGGTTAGTCTATGATAATTTGACTGCCCCTTAACTTACTCTGTACACCAACCTGGCCTTGGAATCACAGAAATCTGCTTGCCTGTGCCTCCCAAATGGTGGGATTGAAAGCATGTGCCACCATATCCAGCTTTTTTAAAATCACCATCTAGCTTCTTTTTGTCTTTTAAGCCTACATGTGTTTTTAAATATACTGTAAACCTTTTAGAGGTTTTCCTTTATCTGAATAAGACTTTGTTATAAATCTTTATGTTTTTCTAGCCATGAATCTTTCTTCTGCTGAACAACACAGAAGACCATTCCCCATCACACACACACACACACACACACACACACACACACACACACACATATATGTTAGAACTACCTTTACTACAATACTACTACCAGTACAACTAATGCTACTACCGATATTTTTGAAAAAAACAAAAGTCCACAATTCTGTAACAGGATTTATTCTGCAGCCACATCTAGTCATTCACATGTACAAGAAAATAAACCTGTCTGTCTGTATATGAAGTCTTAGGATATTATTCCCATGGAAAAAGTCCTGGAGGAAAACCAGCCATTTTTTCCTGGAATACTTTATCAAATGCTTCAGCTTGGGCTACTGTAAGGTGATTCTTCCAGTCCCCAGTTGTGCCTAGAAAATGTGAAGCAGACACATAGAAGGGTTAAAGATTATCTTAACACATCACAATGCATCCTTCACATGTTCTTAGCATATGCTTTACAAGGACCACGCATGTAATAGTGGAACTACCAGTTATTTCCTGAAGAAAATATCTTATGCCTTGAAATAATGTGCAAACGACTTTCAGAGGTGAGGAAATAATGTCTTCCCTTCTTCTATACCAGCATATTAATTATACAATCTAACAGCATCAAAAGAGGTTCTATATTTTATATGTCCAGATTGTTCTAGCATCCCCTTACACCTGCTTCTATCCCACTATCCAATATAGCAGATTTTCTTACATCTATTATCCAAACATATTTCAATTGTTCTTTTTACATTTTAATTTTTACTCATAAAAGACTGACAATAGAAGTCATGTTTTTCCATATTACATTTCTTTTGTATCATGTAAGTTAACTTCAAATCCTCAGTGGTATTATAAAATAAAATATAAAGTATTCACAATTAAATGGTAAGTTTCGATAAAGCACATTCAAGTAAAATACCATTGATAGATATGACAATATGATTCTCATATAGTTAAATGAGTAACAATAATATAATTGTTACTCTCAGCTTCAGTATTACTTCATTATTAGAATGACCTTTGGTATTATCTCTTACAGCATGCCTGTCTCCTGACAAGAGAGATTGGAAGCCAAGCCACCAGAATCTCAGCAAATTCAATATGACTGCCTACTGGAATAAATCAGTCCATGAGAGAGAAATTTTACAGGAGCACACATGAAGTTGTAAATCTCCAGCTATGTCAAAATCCTGTGCAACATACAAGCATGTATATCTCTTCATTCTTTCTTTATAAAAATCTCCTCAAAGTCTGGTGTCAGGTGACAGGATAACCATAATTCATGGTAACTTAAATTTTGTTAGGAAGGAACTTCCTTATAGTTCTGGAGGCATTAGTTCTTACAAAATTTTGTTGTGCATATCTTATCTGGATTTCTTTTTTGGTCATGATATAGTGTATTTCTAAGAAGGTCTTATTCTCTCTGTGTCTCAGATTGATTTCTTCTAGGGAAAACTGTATAAATGCTTAATGGCTCAAACATGCTTTATAGGAAACATCACTGTGAACTAATGAGGTTCGCTACATTTGAAGTTTGTGAGAACATATTTCCTATCACATGTCTTGATTGGGAAAATATCATCATAACAGCTGTGCCAAATTTACCTTGGCTGAATTTGGATGACCATCTCCCTGGTCTGATTTTTTGCAGTATCTAAGTATGGAATCAGAATGATCAAAACTGTTTTTGGAAAATTATTGCTTGAAGCATAAAACCATATTAATCCTAACTAGACAAATGACTAAGGCTCTCAGATTAAAACTAAACCTTGAGAAGCAAAACAAGGTATTTATCTTGTTTCCTGAGTAGCGCAACTAAAGAACAATGAAAATAGAGCTAGAGAATGCCTCCAAACTAAGTCCAGCATAGCATGTAATACAGTTTTATCTTGCATTATGATTTAGCGAACTAGGTATGTTATGGTAAGAAATGAAGTAAATGTTGAACTTCCCATACCTTCAAGACTGAAAAGAAGGTAGCAATCATATGTAGGATTTGAAAAGAAGAAAAGTATCCTAAAGCATTCTATTTTTCAAAAGTTTTCACAGCATATCCATATCAGCATCTTCTTTCCTAAAGTCATCAATCAGGGAGGGATGGGTAATGAAGTTGGCCTCTCCCTTCAATGACCTATTTTCTAGTGAAACTCATGAATTATACATTTTAGTACAATGAAAATAATCCTCTAAAGTATAATATCATCAAATGCAAAAGAAATAGATGTCATATATAATCATTATGATAAATTATATATGACTTATGGAATCAGATTAAGTTTTTTACAGAACTACTACAAATATTTATTCCCTCCTAACATATATGGTACATGAAAAATGCTAAATATTGAAAGAGATTAAACAAAAACCCCATTGTGGTCTCATCCTGGGAGAATCTAACCAGAAAAATTGAGAATTATCCTCATGGAACTACATCCTAAATTCTACCATATATACTTCTGTATGTGTCTGATAAAACTTTTGATTCTTACTTTTCATTGAATTTCCTATTAAACAAGTCACTTCCTTCTTTTTGGCATTTCATTAGAGCCTTTATTAATACATACTTTTTTACTTATGTCATTACAGAAAATCCAAAAATGGACAACTGCTCTTCATAGTGTGATCATCAGTTCTAGTTCAGGTAACTCTATCTTCCCAGAGTCTGGAACACAGGAGGTTATCTGTCACCAGAAGTGACTTCTTCCAGAGGCCTCAGTCCTTAGTGTATAGATGACCATATTCTTGAGGTACACATGAATGTATGCTAAAATCTGAATCCAATCTTTCTCTTGTGAGGATATCAGGAGTATTGTATTAAATATTACCTACTGACAATTTAACTTAATTTTTTCATTGATACGCTTCATGTCTTTAAATCCTAGGAACTGTTCTTTACACTCTATGATGGAGAAGGAATGAAAGCTAAGCCTGAAACATATAAGTGATTGAGAGATGAAAATTGAACCCATAGCTATCCACATCCTGCCTCTATGCCCAACATGTTTACTCATCCTAAGAGACATGACATCAGACTTATTTCTTCATTAATCCTGAGTTCTATACCAACACTTATTTGCTAATTATGTGAAGGAGAAACTCCCAGTGTGACTTATTCTGGCAACAGACTTCCTCAATATTTCAGCTATGAAACAACAATCATTATTTTCTCCCAGCATAGAGAGACAGAGGACAGATATAGAAAAGATGTGTATTCACATTCAAGTAGAGACAATTCAGAAAAAAATAGAATAGCTTTGAGCCTGAAGCAACCCTAATTAGGTGGGTAAATACCATGAGATTCTCACAGGGGTGAAAATTTCACTTTATCTTTATAGTATGGGTCAGCAATCTTTGGCATGTTCATCATTTCAGGTGTTAGTGGAAGTTTATCCTGTGCTATTTTATGCCAGTATTTTGTGTAAAAAGCTTTGGAAATAATTTACAAACTGTTCCCCCAATCCATAGTTTTGCAGTCCACGGATGTTATCAGATGAGGCTGAAAATAAGTTAGAATGGGTAGAAAAGGAATATTAGAACTCCCTGTGGACCATGTGGATCCAAAACCAGACTGCATTCTGGTTCTTTAGCCATTTAAAGAAGACCCCTCAGGAATTTTGATGCAGAGATAAGATATCATACTAGAATGTATATTTCTGTCACAGAAACAGAATAAAAGACTGAAGTCATATATAGAAAAGATTTCTGATTTGATATTAAAAGGTAAACTGAGGCTTCATCAACTAAATGGTAGAGATCCAATGGAAATTATTGTACCGTAACAAATGAAGAAATTTCCTACTTATGGAAGGATAATGAATATTGGCAAATGACTTGCAGTGACGTTTTGGGCATGATTAGTAACAACTATCTCAAAACAGAGAGAATAAAATTCACAAAGAAAACAATTTGGATCCTTCCATGTAGTATAAGAAAAACACCAATCACTGGAGTCCATACATTCTACAGTGGTGCAAACGGTGAAGACCAAATTGTGCTGATTTTCTTATTGCTGCAATCAGGTAAGGCAGGTTATAAATCAGGACATATAAGTAAAGTAGTTCAAAGTCCTTACAACTCTGTACAAAAGGCAGATTTGTTTGCCATTCTCATGGTACTTATGAATTTTACAGAGCTTCTCAATATATTTATGGACTCTCAGTAGGCAGAGAGAGTCGTCTTACACATTGAGATTACAGAATTTGTTCCTGATGATACAGAATTAACCTCATTGTTTATACAATAACAGAAAACCATCAGAAATAGAACTCACCCTATATATACATAACACACATCAAATCCCATACAGGTATGCCAGGTCCTCTAGCACAAGGTTTTCAGGCTTCCAATGGAATACTGCTCTAATCTCTGAAAAGGGTGATTTTGTTATCACATACCTCTTAGATGTGATAACTGTTATGGGTATACCTGAACAAATAAAAACTGATAATGCTCCAGCATATTGGAGCAATTTTCAAATATAACATGAAACATGTAACTGGTGTACCTTTCAATCATACAGGACAAGCAGTGGTTGAGAGATCTAACCACACCTTAAAAGAAATGCTCCATGAACAGCCAGGGGGAAAAAGACCCCCCCAAACATAATGATTTACTAACACTGAACTTTCTTAATGCTAATGAGATAGGACAAGAAGGTGTAGAAATACACTGTAATATAGAAAAGTTTCTGAGCTAAATAAATGGGTGTATTTCAAGGATGTTATGACCTCATTTTGGAAAACAGGATATGTATTACATTGTGGAAGAGGTTTTGCTTTGTTCCACAGGAGAAGACAAGCATTGGATTCCATCAAAATTGATCAAGAATCAATATAAACAGGAGGAACCTCGAGAAGAGGAAATATGACAACTCATCCACAAATTTATAGTCTACTATGCATAAGGAGACCTCACAATGGGAAAGAGAAATGTCTTGGTTTTTGTCTTTAATGGAAAACATGTCTCAAAACAGTGAGAAAATACTGAACGCATGGATACCTGAAGAATATAGGATAGCCACACAAAATATAATCAAGCAAACAATAATCCATGGTTTGGTATCAATGTCTAATTCTCTTAACTTTGCACTTACAATATTTATTTTTCTTTACTTGCTAATGCTTTTTTGATCCAAATTCACTTAAGCCGAAGCTGGCTTTGGGGTTGCATTTGGCTCTCCTCCTCTAAATCCAAGCATGTTGGTCACAGAAAATTCAGAGTTTCTGTATTGTATCAAGGAGCCAATTGATGTAAAACAAGAGAACAAAATCTAGGGACTACCATCTGTTTATACTCAGTAATTTCACTGAAAGTCAAATTCCCTCATGTTTACCATATTCCTTATTGTTGCATTTCCCTGTATGCATATATATATATATATATATATATATATATATATAAGTTGAAAATTTCTCTGTTAACGTTAATGTTTGAATTTTCCACAGAGAACAAGGAATTTCCTTATGGCTATCTTCAAAACCTCCTGAAAGAAAATGGGGCCCCATGTCATCAATGCAATCTGACAAGTACCATCCTGAAACCAGTTTGGGACTACATCAATCTACATAACTCTAGACCTATGAACTGATATGGTGCACCTTCTATAAACTGGCCAGAGCCTCAGATAAAAGCTTCAATCAACATTAGAAATTCAATCAAGCTCTCCCACCAACAGAGACTGAATGCAAATGAGACTTTAGTTACACTAACATTTTCTTCCTACACGATCCCATGAGGTTGTCATTGTCCCATTTCAGTAGGAAGTAATTTTGAAAATACTACTCCCCCTTTCCCTACTTCCAATATTGCAGGGTGGCTTACACCTGTTAGGGTAAGATTTCAATTATTTAGGATTGGGATTGGAAGGGTGTGTTCAAACTTGGGCATCTCTTTCAGATATGTTTAGGGTGTAGACCAGAAAGATATACTTAGGATATGATACAAGTAGATTATAATTTGCTCATCATCTTCTATGTATATATGGAGCATATGGTTGAGTTTTGTATCAAGTCTAAATCTTTTATTTAGATTAAAAGGGGAATTGTAGGTGATATCTCACATACCTGAGATATTGACCACGCCCATTTGGGTATTTACATAGGGACATGGGAAAGGCGAGAAATATAAGGGGAGAAAGTAAAAGCTCTCTCCTGGATCCTGGCAGAGGCTAAGAAACCATAGAGTGCTGACCTCACTTCTAATGTAAGTGATTGCTCTCTATAAATAAATCTCTTAAACCCCCCTTTCCCAATCTTCGTTGCAATGATCAATTCTATATTCAGTGTGTGTCATCAGTCTTTGACACATTCATCATCTTTTTCAGGTGTTAATATGAAAGTATTTTCTGAGGATATTATCCCAAATTTATCTGTGGTCTGAAGCATTAAGCAATTTTTTCAGTTGACATCTAAGATACAAGGAGCACTACAATTTTAATTTTAATAGGTCTACAATTTTCTTTCCTATTGAAATTATTGGACATGACCCTCTACATTCCTTAACTTCTCTTCAAGAACAAATCAATTTATAACGAGGTCTTGAAGCCCACATGACCACCATGGAAAATTTCCCTTACAAGGTCTTTGAGAAACTCGGATTTGAAGTGCAATGAATTATGAAACATTCCCGACTAGTTCTTATACTCTTCTAGGAACACAAGTCCTCCAAATGGTCCGACATACTTTGAGGGTACAAAATTTCTTTACCTTTTCTCATTAGTATTAAATTATGAGGAGCCATAATGTTTGGGGTGATATTGAAATTGGACATTTTATTTTCATTCATGGCTTGGAAGGAGCTGTACTTGAGGACCATATCCAGTTCAGATGGCTCTAACTTTTTTTCCAGGAAGTCACAGATCTTTTGTATGGTTCCTCTTGGGTCCTAAATGAAGAGAAAATGTGGGTAAGAAAAAGAAACATCTGAGAGAATAGATGCAGAGATGATTACTGTGGATGGATGATGAAAAACGGATAGGAAGAAAGAAATGGCACCATGAAATTAGAAAGCATTCCTTGGGAACCCATAGGTAAAGCTGGACACAGAATCATGTAGACTAAATGCAGATTGTCACCTCTCAATTTCCTCACCCAAATCCAGTCTTCTAGTCTCATCCATAAACATCTGGTGAATCCTCCCTCACCCAAATCCTCTGTCTAAACTGGTTCACAATGATCATAACTTCCAAAGTTCCTTTTTGTGATGCGTTGCTTTGTCCTAGACCTGAATTTCAGAAGATGCTCCCTAAGAACCCACAAACCATTAAGATGTTAGGAAAGCAGTTATGCTAACAGCAGATCTTCAGCTCTCTCTCCATTCTTTCAATTGCAATCCTAAATCTCATCCACAGCTTTATATCAAAACTTCTGCTGTGGCTTGTCCTGAGTTATGGTCCCAGTCACAGGTTAATAACTAATCAGAGCCTATGGGAAACTCTGCACTCTTCTCCATTGTAAACATTATTATGTACCCCTCAGCCCATCCCCAATTTTAGTGTCATCTTTCTAAATCCAAAATAACATTTTACATGAAATGCCAGTGGCCTCAATTACCATGATCTTAGAAAAATTACATACCAGGTAACAGACAACCACAGTATTACCCTAAGTAACAGGCAGGTAACAGAAAATGAGGAAGAAACAAAAAATGCAACAAAGACAGGACCAGATATGAGCAACCAGAATTACCATTTCCATGATCACAGACATCCAGGACAGGATCTCTTAACCAGAGTCAAAAAAACCTCACTAGAAAAGACCCTGAGAATCCCAGCATAGGTGCCAAACCAGAAAAGAACTTTAATGCAGCATGCATGAAGATATTAGAAGACCTAAAAGAGGAAAGAGACAAAAACCCATAGAGAAATATACAAAAGCACAAAGTAAAGTCATTACTAAAACCATTTAAGACTAGAAAGTGGAAATAGAATTAATCAAGAAAATGCAAGCTGAAGGAAATCAGCAAACGAAAAATTTAGTAACTAGAAAAGGATCCATAGATCTTACCTTATGAAGTGATTGTAAATGATTGACAAGAGAATCACTTAGACAAGGCAACAAAGAAGAAATATATACATATTTGTAAAATAAAATGTGAAATCCAAAATATTCCTGTCAAAAACATTCAAGATTCCTGCGACACTATGAAAACCCCAAATTTAGGAAAAGGAGTAGAGGAAGAAATAAAACAAAGGTCTATGGCACAGAAGATATTTTGAACAAAATCTAAGAAGAATAATATTTTAACCTAAAGAAGGAGATGCCTATCAAGGTAAAAGCAGCATACAGAACAATAAATAGACCAGACAGGGAAAGAAAGTCCGCTAAGTTCATAGTAAATAAAATCCAAATTCAGAGAAACGTTACTGAAGTTTTGAAAATGGCAGAACTGGGAGGATCAAATGATGAGTAGGAAATAAGAGATATTGAGGGAGTGAATACAGAGAGAGTTGGTTAAATTTAAGGTATATTTGAGGAAACATACATACAACCTAACATAGTAGAAACTTCTTATAATGTGTGTATACACACATGTACACATACAAAGGGCATTTCATAATGTAACTTAATGTGTAGATGGTGTCTCAAAAGGTCAACTCTCGTCCAGTACTGAGATTGGGTGCATCTAATTGAGTTTGTGGTCAAATTTATGGTATGGGAAGCTCTCAACAACATAGACTGCTGCTAAGGGTACAGGTTCCTCTACCAAAACTGAGAGTAAGGCCCCATTGTTGAATAAAACACTATTATAAGTAACTCAATATGGAGCTGATGGACTTGTAACTAAATGCAGATTTCAACAATACTTTTGAGACTCTTTGTTATAGGAAGGTACTCTGCACACTATGAAAATACAAATATAAACATGAAGCCAGCCACAAATCCTTTCCTCTACAATGATGTAATATATGCAAGTTCTTCTAGAAACAAAATTCACAGGAATAACCAATCATTAACTGATTTTATGTAAAGCTCACTCCTCGAGATGGAACACATACTTGACACTTCCTTGGTATCAGAGACTAGATAAACTGGCAACCTCAATTGAAACCAAATAATACTGGCCTAAAAGATTAGTAACAAATTGACTCCTAATTATTCTGCTAACCTCTGATTAGTGCTTATTCAGAAGGTTTCTCCTAAAGCAGTTGGGAGCAAATCATAGAGACACACAGACAGACAGTACACAGAGTGAGATACTTTTGAACATCAGTCCTAAATGCTGGGTCTCCACCAAATCGCTCCCTTTAGAGCACAGAGAACTCTAAAGAAGAAGAAGAAAAATATAAGAGTAAAGAGTAGGAAGGACTCCAACAAAACAAGGTCCTCCACATCAACATGAGAAAAGCTAGAATGAACCCACAAAAGGGAACAATTTACACAGAGTGTCACCAGCCTGTATCATGTCTCTGTTTAGAAATTTGGTTTCCAGCTTAGAGTTTTATGGGCTTCTTGAATGTGTGAACTTTTGGTTCTCTAATTGTGCCCTTTATTTCACTGTTTCATTTCTATTGGTTTGTCTTGTCCAACATTGAGGTTATAATATTTTTCCATCATATTTTATCTTATTTTGTTACAATTTTTAAAGTGAATGAATGAAAACATACTCATTATGGTAAAGGTTAACAACCTAACTCTCATTTATACCTGCTGGAGTGGAAAACTTAGTTTTCTTCAGTGCAGTGACACTCGATATTTCAACCATTCCAGGGCAATCTTCATGGTCAGGGATAGTTTATCAACATATAATAGGATCCACAGTTACATGCACTTTTATTTGGTTACTGTTCAGTGTCTTACCTTTCTTATGTTTCAGTGTTTTATTTGGGGGGGCAGTGTTGCTTTATTGTTTTTTGTTTGTTTGTTTGTTATTTGAGAAAGAATTTAAGGTTGGTTGGGTAAGGAGTGGGATAAGATGTGAAAGAAATCATCAGAGAGAAATAATATGAGCATACCAGTTTAAATTTAAAGGCTGTTTTATATAATAAAATATAGTAAGAAAAATAAAAGCAAAACAAAGAATGCAAAATTATTAATAACCTTCGTTATCACCATAGTGTACTTTCATAAGGAAAGGCTGTTTCTTATCCTTCTTAACTAAATTTTTTGAACAGTTCTAAGAATGAACTAATGTGTTCTCTGACAGATTGTGTGCCTAGTGCATTTTTTCTTGTACAGTTTAAAGTAAAATTGATACGCATATCAGTGATATGTAAATGATGGCTACCTTTCACCCAAAACTTCCAAACTATTTAAAATTTTGAACTACTGATAAAACAAGAATATTTTTTTCTGTTTGGTGTCATTATATTTCCATCATTAGAGGAAGAATTTTTAACTAAATGAAAATAAGGTACACAGATGAACTTAAAAATTCTTTTTCTTAGTGGTCTTTTTAAACAATGTTCTTTTTAAAAAAAATAATGTCTCTTATATCTTGAGAGACCACCATAAAACCAAGCAAAATCTAGAACTCCTGAATCTGTCTCTATCTCCCAGTGCTAGGTTGACAGTCATATAGCACCCTGGCAAGATTTTTTTTAATTTTTAAAATAAGAGACATTTCAGTCACACACAAAGTACTGAACCATATTTCTTTTTTTATTATTATTATTTTTTTATTTTCCATTTTAAATTTAGATAAGAAACAAGGTTGCTTCACAAGTCAGTTCGAGGTCCCTCTCCCTTTCCCTCCCCTCCTCCCGTGCCCTCCCCCCATCCCCCCCCGTTATCCCCTCATTCCCCCAGGGAGGGTGAGGCCCTCCATGGGGGTGTCCATAGTCTGTCATCTGAACCATATTTGTAACATTCTGTGGGGCATTTCTTTTTTGTATTTTAATTTTTTATTTAAATTAGTAACAAGCTTGCTTCACAAGTCAATCCCAGCTCCCTCTCCCTCCCCTTATCCCCTGCCCTAGATCAATCCCTCCATCCCCTACCCCATCCCCCCTCTGCTCCCCAGGGTGGGTGAGGACCTCAATGGGAGATCTCCAAAGTCTGTCACATGATTGGGCCAGAGCCTAGGCCCTCACCCATCTGTGACTAACCACTAGGGTTATCATATGTATAGAATGTGATGCATAAACATCATTTAAAACAAATATGTAGTGCAAGTGTGACCTATCCCACACTAACTCAGGGTGGAGTAGGCTATAAGATGAGGTTAATGGACAAGAAAGCTTGATAGGAAATAGCAGAAGCCTAAAACTGACAAAGTAGGTAGAATGGAGATTTGAAGAATGTGTGGTACTACAAGGGGTGAGTTGGAAAGAGGCTGCATGGTTGCTCTGAGAATAGCAGTTACCTTTTTCATGTCTTCATAGCTCAGCAACAGGAAGTTTTCACTTTCTCTCATGGACAGCCAGCCACGGGTGTGCTCAAACCAAGATCCATATATCACTGAGAAATGAGAAGGAAAGTGTTAATTACAAACAATGAAAGTGACATCTGCCTGGTGGTCTTCACTTTTCTGCAAAAGGCAGAGAGTTTAACTATGAAAAATCAAACCAGTATTTACAGTAGTCAGTGTGACATTTTGCTGGTGGCCATGATACAGGATAATCATGTGGCAATAAAAATTCAAGACAATGGACCATCAGAAAGCAAAGCATAATGGAAAAATTAACATAAGTATAAGCAAGATATGATGTTGGCCCTGCCTCTAATACAGCAGGGGTTGCAGAAGATAGAAAATAAGAACAAGGAATTATCACATATTTCTTTTCTCTTGAGAAGAAATATAGACTATATCTTCAGTAAATTGTTAAGAAAACAATTGAAAACAAGAAGCTAAGTTAGATAATATTTTATACTGTTAATGATGAGAGATGTGTTCATGGCATTCATTTTGCATAACAGCTAAAATTAAACTATAAATACGATTTAAGTTTATGTTAAAATGTTAGTGTTAATAGTTTTGAAGTGAAAAACCTGGACAAATATTCCAAATTTTAGAAAGTTACATAGTTTAATGAGGGAATCATTAATGTGAAGGAGCAAGAACAAAAGAGCCCAGTAATTGTTAGCTGATGTGCTTTTCTTGTTAGAATAGTTTGATGATAAAATATGTTGATGAATTCCTTGCGCATATTTCTGCCATCAACTTCCTGATATAAAAATTTGTCGAGGAGGAGGGTGCATGGGTATGCATCATGAGGAACTAAAATAAAGACAAGTGTTTTCCATACATAAAAGTTTAGATTTGTGAGTCTTTGAATATTCTTTCTTTCTTTTTTTTCGAGACAGGGTTTCTCTGTATTGTTTTCGAGCCTGTCCTGGAACTTGGTCGGTAGACCAACTTGGTTTTGAACTCACAGAGATCCACCTGCCTCTGTCTCCTGAGTGCAGGGATTAAAGGCATGCGCCACCACCACCCAGCTAAATATTCTTTCTAAGATTATCATTTGATATAAGAAATATGGAGCCCAGTGACCGAGAGAGAGGAGCGAAGAGCAAATTGGCAAAGAATGGGCTGGCAAAACGAGCAGAGACAGCTGATCTGAACAAGGGAGAGCTCTTGGACCCCAGACCGACAGCTGTGAGGACAAGACCCCCAGAGTGTGATAGTCATTGAGGAGGTCTGGACAACCTATGGAGCCCTGGGCAGTAGATCAGTGTTTATCCCTGGCATACAAATTTACTTTGTGTGCATAACACAAAGAAGGATGCTCTCTCAGCCTGGACTTTAGGGCATTGCCTGGCCCCTGTAATGTGCAACATGACAGACTCTGGATATACCCTATGTGGAAGGAAGTTGGGATAGGGTGGGAGGCTGGGGGGATGGTGAGGGGTGCAGGACGAGGGGAGGGAGAGGAAACTGGGATTGACATGTAAAACAAGCTATTTAAAATTAAATTAAAAAAGAAAGTAATTATCCTTTGTAACTGCAAAATGCAGCCTTCTAGTAAAAGAAATCCCTGGGAAAATGCCTTGTTTGCTTTTACTCTGTTAATCTATAACAAGTTGTATAGATATGATCACATGTGGGCTCTTGGATAAATTGTTTTTCAATTATAATAGGATGCTTAATCATATAAGGGAAATGAAAACATGTGCTTTATTTATATTCATTATGATCATTCACTTAAAAAACAAAATGACACCACATCATAATTTTCATGGTGCCTGAAATATTTTGTTGGTGTATTTAAGGTGTAAAGTGTAAAGAAGAACAACAGAGAGAGAAGATGATGTAAAGACACTAAAGGTGTACATATAATTTTTCATTTATTACAGTCCAGAAGGTTCATTTGATGCCCCCTCACTGTCCCATAGTATTCAGTTTTACTCCCTCAGAAAGAAAATTCAAGTTGAGTGGTTATTTCACTGACTCAGTGGTTTCCCCCAAAATCCCCTGAGCTTCTAAAGGCTCGTTCTCATGGAAGTGACATTTGACACACACTGTTGCTGAGCTGACATAATCAAGCTCATCAGAAAACACTTCTCCCTTTAGCCTTACCTCTGATGCCATAAGAAGACATCCTCCTGGCAGGTTCCATTGACAGTAGCATGAGTTGGTGAAGAGTGACCAAAACCAAGAAAGAACAGCCAGAGGTGTGTGGGCATGGGCATAGTTGAACTTTTTTTTTACTACCATGTCTGGACAGTTATCTTAACACATTCTGAGGGTGATCCCCTCCCACTAGTATTCACATGGTAGTTTCCACTATTTCTCAATAGCAACTCCTAAAGACCTAAGCATCCAAAACAGTAAATGGGAAAATTTCCAGGCATAGCCTTTCCTATTCACACAAAATCTTCATTCACATTCCTAGAGATACTGTGATGTGATTTTAACAGTCACACTATCTTCCCTGTTCCTGAACTGGTTTTATTTCTCTTCCTGTATCAGCCTCTGTTAAATACTTGCTTTGTTCCCTGCTATATGAAAAACCAACTGAGTGAAGTAAGAAGAGAAGATGAGACATTAGTCAGGTCAGAGCAGTAAGAGACATGATTCAAACAATGTAAAATTAGATTGAAATCTGGGGTAGATAAATATTTCTGGTAAGAGAATTGCTCAGTACATGGTAAAATTAAGTCACTTAAATGATAGAAAGCTTTGCTCAGGTGGTGCTCAGTGGAAACCATTTGCCTTGCATGTGTGAGGACCTATGTTTGAAATCTCAGTGATAATTAAACAATGGTGATGCAGCCAATTTCTGTTACCCTAGCATTCATTCTATGATGTGGGATGTGGGGACATGAAAATGCCTAGACACTTTGAAACCTAAAATATGGTGCACATGGGCATGAACTAGAAGAACTGTCTCAAACGCAGTAGAAATTAAGGTTCAACACCTGGTATTATTGTGCATCGTTAGCACAAGAACATCAATCTTCACATATTTGGGTCCACATCATCATAAGCACACATAGCTAGACACATAAAAAGGGAAGCAAAAAGCAAAGCCAATGTGGTGGCATACATCTGTACTGCCAAATCTCAGGGCATAGCACATGTGAAGACCAGAGGTGCAGTGTCATTTGCCAGTACATAATTAATTTCTGGTAAACCTGATCCTGTTGTAAAAACAAAACAAAAAGCCACCAGAGTAGCATCAGCAATGGTGCCAAAATTAAGGCGATAACACATATCTAGATAACAATTAGTAGTGGTTCTGTGTTGGAAGTCGTTTTAAAAGTTAATTATTTGTTTGGGGACAGGGATTGCAATACCTATGCCAACAGGTCTTGGTTTATAGAATAAGATGGCCTTGAACTATTGACCACCTTGTCACCACTGCATTATTTCTGTGATTGCAGGCCTGTTCCATTCTTTTCTGCCTGGATACTTACTATTTTGTTTGACTTTAATTGATATGTGTCAAGGGAGAACACCTAGTTGATGTAGTCAACAATAACAACAACAACAAAACCACTGACAAGATCTGTCTGTTAGTGAGCATTAATGTTCAATAGGCTGACGAATAAGTACCTGCCTCCCGGTGAAGTATGCTAGAAGATCAAAAAGATTCAATGACAGATGGAAAGAATTGTATCTTATATGATGTTGGGAAGAATGTTTTCCATCAATACAACAACATTTTGAGGGAAATGTTATAAAGGTGTGCATCAACTGTATGTGACAGCATCAATAATCAAATCAATGAGCAGAGTGTGGGGAATAAATCATCTGGTTGAGAGAGAGAAAAATAGATGGGGAAAAAGAGTATTAGGGATTGAGTGAGAAAGAGAGAGGTTTTATTGATGGATATTCAGAAAATATGCAAGGTCCTAGAAACTTGTGGTTAGTGAAATTATTATAAAAAAGGTTTATATCATTTTTATTTTGTACATTTATGTGATTTATGTGAGTATGGATCTCTGTGTGTGCCTGCAGAAATGATAAAAGACCTGAATGTTGTGATCCACTCTGTGTTGTTATTGGGAGACAAAGAGACCTCCGTGAAGAACCATAAGGTGTTTTTGACCACTGAGCCATTTCTCAAGTTCCTAATAAGAAAAATTTAAAGAGTAAGTTATAGTGCACAATTAAACATAGAAACTAGTTGGGTGGTGGTGGCACATGCCTTTAATCTCAGCACTCGGGAGGCAGAGGCAGACTGATCTCTGTGAGTTCAACACAAGCCTAGTCTACAAGGAAGGACAGCCTCCAAAGCCACAGAGAAACCCTGCCTTGAAAAACCAAAAAAAGAGAGAAAGTAATTAAAACTGGCAGGAGAGAAACAAAAAGACCAAACCTAAGATTAATAGGGAGAGAAGAAGGAGAAGAATACCAGCTCAAAGGCACAGAGAATACAGCCACCAAAATCATAGAAGAAATCTTTCCCAACCTAAAGAATGAAATGCCTATGGAAATAAAAGAACGTATGAACACCAAATACACTGGACCAAAATATATCCTCCAACCACTTAATAATCAAAACACAAAATATACAGAATAAAGAATATTAAGATCTACAAAGTAAAAAGTTCAAGTAACATATAACAACAGACCCATCAGTATAACACCCAAATTATCAGTGGATACTTTCAAAGTCACAAGCTCCTGGACAGGCACTATGCAAACTGTAAGAGACCATGAATGCTACATCATATTGAAAGTTGAAAAACTTTCAATTACCATAGATGGAGAAAATAAGATTTAAACATACCTATCCACAATCTCAGGCCTACAGAAATCAGTTGGAGGAAAACTTCAACTCAGGGTGGTTAGTTATACTCAGGAAAGCAAGGCAATAAATCATTACAAACCATCAAACCAGAAAGAAAGGAAAGAAACATACACAAAAAATAACAGAATCAACACTCAAAGGTAATTGATATCCCTTAATATCAATGGACTCAATTCTAATACATAATAACTAACAGAACAGATAAGAAAACAAAATCCAAATTTCTGCTCCATATAGAAACCCAGCTCGATGTCAAAGGCAGACATTTCCTTATGATAAATGGATGGGAAAGAATGTCCAATCACAGGGACCTAAGAATCAAGCTGGTGTAGCTGTCCTACAATCTAAGAAAAATAGATGCCACACTAAACATAATCAAAAGAGATGATGAGGAATATTTGATATGCATCAGAGGAATCAATAGGCACATTCCCATTAGTAAAAATATTATTGGTGAAAATTTCTTAATCAAAGTCACAGGCTAGAAACCTGAAATTAAAAATAGGAGGTATATATTTAGTGTGCTTAGTCAAAAATATAAGTGGAACCTTACAACAAACTGAGGAAAAATGTTCAGGGCAAATGGAGCTAGAAAACAAGAAATTGAGTCAGGCGATTGTGGTATGCTCCATTAATACCGCTACTTGGGAGGCAGAGGCAGGATAATCTCTGTGAGTTGAATCCACCCTGGTCTACATAGAGAATCCCAGGTCAGGTTCCAAACTAATACACATAAACCCTGTCTTGAAATAGAAAAAAGAAAGAAAACTAGTGTTGCTGATCTCATCTGAAAAAATAAATTTGAAAGCAATTCTTGTCAGAAGTAATAAACATTACTTCCTATGGATTATGGCAACAATGGATGGGAGAAATGTATGGTTTCACACACAGGTACACACAATTTTACATAGAAAATATTACCTATTGTAAAGCCATACATTATCAACAGTTATTATTTTAGTCTTGACTTCAGCATTGACCCATCTTCTTAACTGTAAGTGGAAAGTATTAAATGACAGCACAGGTAAAATATCCTTAAAAGTCATCTGTAGAATATTGTTTCCAAACATGGGGTCTCAGCCTCCCATGAAACTTTCTCTAAAATAGGTCATATAGTAGGACATAAATAATGTCACAAAAATACTGGGAAATTGAAATAATTTCATATATTCTGACAAAAATGAATTTACTACAAATAAACAACAAGAGAAACTTTAGAAGGTGAACAAACTTATGGAGATTAAACAATGCACAACTTAATGATAAATGAGTCTTTGATGAAATCAAGAGTAGAAAGACTCCTACAATAAAATGAAAATTATATTCCACATCATGGAATCTGTGAGATGCAATGTAAACAGTCCTAAGAGAGATGTTTAAAGGTCAATGTACCTACATTAAGAAATAAAGGGAAGTCAAATAAACCAGCTAATATTTAACCATAGGGTTTTGGAAGTAGAACAAATCAAATCAAATGTGAAAATCAGAAATCTGGAAAAAAAGCACTGAAATAAAAACAGCAACAAGAAGTAAAAACGTCAGAAAGTCAATTAAATAGAATTTATTACCTCAAAGTATAACTTTAGATTAACTAAGAAAAATAAAGAATGAATGCCAAATCTACTACAGTAAGACATGAAAATGGAATCATTACTACAGGACCAGTAAAATTCAGTAAATTATTACAGTTTAGCTTAAAAGCATTTCAGTAAACTTGAAAAATCTCAAAGGCATGGATGAAATTCTACATAGATTAAAAACTACAAAAATTAAATTCGGATGTCCTTTTTAAAAAGTAAACAGATAAAGATGGGGAGAAGGATAAAAAGTTAAAAGCATATACTGTCTTCTAGAGAATCCAGATTCAATTTTGAGTACCCACAGGATAGCTCACCATGCCTTCACCCAGCCTCTGTGGTTACCAGACATATATACAACATGCACACATACATGCAAGAAAAAAAATCATTGAAAGTATCAGGTCTAGCCTATATTTTTGCTTACACCTCTGTAGCTAGGGAAGGCACAGCATGGCTACAGCCAAACAACTCTGCTGCTGCGGATATCAAGATCTATGAACTTGAGTTGACCCATGCCAACATCTCCCCCTGACTATGAGATGCTGGAGCAAGTAATAGCACTTGTCCACTCCCTGTGCCGTTCCTCTGTTCCTACATTCTCAGTGTACTTCTTCTCTGTTTTAGTTTAGGAAAATGTAGCTCTCCATGGGTATCAACAAAATATGGCATATCAAGGCCCATTAGGACTAAGCAACTCCCTATGTATTAAGGGTGGGCAAAGGGAACCAATATGAGATTTAGGCATCCAAATGTTTGTAAGAT